AATCATATCTAGATGTACAGACGGAATTATGTGTATAAGGTCAGTTGGTGAGATTGCGATGGTGGATTTTCTGATTAGCAATTGTTATAAATTACAATGTTTTTGTAATAGAAAAAAAAAAACGTAATGATAGAGTTTATATTATGTGTTAAATCACTAGCTTGGTTGTTGTTTAAAGTTAAAAGGCGTTTACAGTCGTAACTAAGCACAAACGCGATGAACACTATGACTCTTCCAAATCAAGTGCAACCTCAAGGCTTCTATTTGTAAAAACAAATAACAAATTCAATTGTTTGAAAGTATTTTATTGTTTATTGTATGTGGTATCGTTATATACTCGTTCTGATAAGTTGTCCGGTTATTTTAAAAATCTAATGTAGTAGTTTTGCTGCAGAGCATCAAGGACGACTTACGTCACTAGACTCTTGCCTTGGAGGAATCATCTATGAACTACTTGTTTGTTTGTTTCTTACATCTTATAAAGAAATGATACATTCTTCCGTTATTCACGTTTTATTAACTTGGTACTAAACTAAAAAATATATACTTATTTTAAAAATACAAGTTTCAAAATATCACCCTTAAAGTATATAGATTATTTTTTGTATCATTCAACAATAAGGGTCATTGAACTAAACTCGAGGAACTATTGTAATTACATTAATGAAAAAGTAACATTGCTAATATGACTTATGCGTTAATAAAGTAACGGTCTGCATTTTACCATCAAACCCTTAAGCAGGGAAGGCTTTATTATAATGTTATTTAATGGTTTCATAAATAATGATATTGCAATACATATAGTACTTTCTTCCATTAATTTTCCTGCTTCACGTGTAACCAAATAACTGTTTAAGATCACTAAGTGTTATTTGCTATTGACTTATCAAATTAAGTAATAAATTGCTATTGAGATTAAATAATTCGAATTAGTATCTTCCAATAAATAATAATACTAAATGAGATTAAAAAACAAACAACATTTTTCACGCCGATGTTTTAACAGAAATTATTGGTTATAGAAATAAAAAAATTCAATAAAATTATTGTTCAGGAAGAAAGACAGGATTATGAAAATATAAAGTCTTACTGGAAAGTATTAGAGATGTACCTCTATACATTTAACTTATTCATATAATCTTTATAAAAACTAAAAGAGTCATGTTTTAAATGTAAAAGCTTCCGAGTGATCTTAATTCATTTTGTCTAGTTACTATATATGTATTATATACAGTAGGACCCCGATTATCCGGACCTCGGTTATCCGAATTCGCGATTATCCGGACTGCCAATCGCGACGAGTTTATTCTAACATTAACATGTCAGAACTTGCATAACGCCACGCCACTTATAACACTTATACGTACATTATGTACAATTTCTTAATAAACGTTGATTTTCGCTCACAGTGGCGGCTGGTGGGTAATCGACCCGGTGGTGCACTTTACTAAAATATTAAAATTAGAAAATGCAACAAAACAATATAACGAGATGTCAATCGAGAACCGACTCATTACTCGGTACATTTCTATGAACTATCTTTTGTTTCACGCGTCAGGCGTATTAATGCGTATCTCATACAAGATGTATTGGCAGTCCTCGTGCACTCGCCGAAGCGCACGATATTAGTTTAGTAGAGCAATCAAACTTTTTGACCATAATTAGGAAATTTAATTTTTTATACTTTTTTAAGTATATGTTTAAAAAATAAATATTAAAATGTAAATTTAAAAATAAAGATGAAGTAATATTTTGTAATTTTTAAATCTTTTGAATTGGTGGTTCAGCGCACGAGTGCACTTAAGGTACAGCCGCCACTGGTACAGACTACATATGTACATATGCAAAAAGCCCGTTTTTCTTCATATATTGGATTATCCGGACTTTCAATTATCCGGATGCCTACCGACAACAATTAGTCCGGATAATCGAGGTCCTACTGTACTACGCGGCGACTACATATTATTAGTTTGAATGGTCAGCATAGAAACAAATAACTTGAAAACTAATTTTTTTCGTAACTTTAAGAATCTTAATTACCTTTACTCAATGTATGTTTGTATGGGTAACTATATTAAATGTATTATTATAGTAGTAAGGAATGCTTTTATAACGTATAAGTAGTCGTTATTAACACACTTTGCTTTATAAATTAGACGTATATACTTTCAGTATCAAGTTTTCTGTTTATCGTAACCAGCTCGTAGTAAGGGTGCATCAGGTAACAACTAACAGGTAACTTCGTTTCAGTCGTATACGTCGCGTCCGTACCAAAGGAAATGCAATCACCTGGAATAGAACGTCGTTTGCAACAGTACATTGAATTTTCCGTACAATCGATCTAATTTTTAATATATACTTCATATTTTTTTGCTATTTAATCCAATAAAAGTAACTAAAGAGTTTTAAATTAGTACGTAAAGTATAGAACAATTGTAATTGATTTTACTCACAATAAGAAAACTCATCTTTTAAGGAAAAATGTATTAAAAGAAAAAATAATATATTGTACGGTTCAATTTAAAATCTTTCTGATTATTTTATATATAAATAAAAAGTAATAAAATTGTTTGTGTCTAATTATAGTAATAACTTTGCCCCAAATTTAGGAGTTTAAAAGTGATAAAAAGAAGTTGTAGGTACATTACGTAATGAGAGCTAAGACTTTCGAGAGTATTCATTGAAATTAAACTAATAGTTTTTGGATCTACTACATACGCGATTTAAATTATTTTAATTACATACTACAGACTCGAAGTTTCGGTTATTTGGAAGCAACCGTGATTACGGTTGTATGTAGTTGAAATAATTAAATTCGCGTTGTATATTACGCGTTCAAACATGTATGAAATAGTTGCAATGCTTTTTCATTCTTCAATCCTTCTTGTTGTTAAAAGTAAATCCTGATTTTATTTATAAGATTATCTTATTATAAAAGTAAAAATAATATAACTTTTAATGTAATACTATCTAAAAATTTAATCAAATGTGAAATGTTTGAAAAGTAGAACGATCGTTTCGCCTTTTAGAAATCGATCATTACAATAGAGCCTTCAGCCTTCAGGCACAGTCAGGATATATAAGTAATAATAATTGTCCTTCACTAAAAGTTGATAACAAAGGAATCAGAAATAATAATTCAACTAAAATGAAATAATTTGACTTGTTTCTTTTAAGAAGAATCTTACTTTTGCTGCAATTTATTCATTAAAAACCACAAACACTGTACATTATTACATCAATTTTTATTTATTTTGTTAACTCCTTGTAATCCATATTTAGAGCTGACAACATTATTCTTAAGTCACTCAACGATCTTTCAACAGTGTGACAGATTGCAATGTTTTGTTGTAATTTATTTTATCGTCATAATTTATTTAAAAAATATGTACATTTTATGAAAGATTTTCAGTTCTGACACTTTTTTATTTTCTTTTTAGGCTTAATTGTTATTTATCAAACTTATTCTTACATATTATGAAACTGTATAGGTAGAATTTCTAGGTACAATGAGGAGGCAGTCTTAAAACCATAAGAAATGAAATAGAAACTATTTAAATACTTTCTTAATTTTTTGCTTCTCTGTTTATCTGTCTGTTTGTTCGGTCTAACATCATAAACGACCGGACTGATTGTTTTCTAAGATTCCGAGAGTATATATTTAAATAAAGTAACGAATTTCAAACTTATAGCCCATGATCGGGTTTCAACGATATAAGACCGCCATTACTACAGGTCTCGCTAAATATGGGGAAAAATCTTAAATAATAAAATTGCAAAGCACATAAAAAAATATAATTTTTTTAATTTTTAGTTAGAAAAGAGGATACAATAATAATTTGAACAGAATTATATGTATAGTGATAAATAAAATATATGTGTCTGTTTGTAATTTAAAGTTAATAGCTTTTCTATATTGATTTTTCAATTTATTATTACAGTCTTTACATAAAGAGAAATTCAAAAACCCAACCAGCTGCCTGACTGTTACCTAAATACTAAGGTTACTAAATATGGTTTACGTATTTGCTAAAAATTTCCTTTTATTATTTTTTGCACTTACCATCCGTTTCCTCGTTCCGCAGCTCAAGTTTTCATTTACAAATTTTGCACAGAGACACTCCAAATTGACTTTGCTATCTCACATTATAGTATCAACTTAGGTTTATGAATGAAGATCTGAAATAGTTCTGTCTAACGTGTGTCTATGCAACGTTATAAGATGGCCAATGGGTAATGGTATTATAAATATACCTAACTGTAATTTATTCCATAGACACGAAAAACAAATCGATTTCATGAAACAAAACATTATAAGTGTCAGTCGTCAAAAAATATATATTTATAATCAAAAAAATATCAAAGAATATCTCTAAAATAATTGTACAATAATATTTTTAAACGCCTGTAAGAAAAATCAAAGCAAATATGTCATCACGCGTAAATATTAATTGTTGCGGACACATGTATATGCAATATTAATTAATAGTAAATTACAAAGGCAAATAGCAAGTTGAATCATATTATATTATTTTAAACTGAACATAATTAAGCATAGCGTTCTGGTGGAGGCACAATTATGAAATTAGCTTTTGAAACAATAACAAATGTAGCTGAATCAAAAGTTGAATAGTAATATTTTATGTAGAAATATATTTAATCACGTTTTGTATACCTTTAGTTTTGATTTACTATTACAGATCAGTACAATTTTATAATAAGATTAAAACATATATTTGATGGCAATATGAATTAATTGTTTGAAATTTTAAGGGCCAATTTGGACCAACAAAAGCAAACATAAGAAGACCTTCGAGACATTATTTGTACACAATTTAAAACTAATTGAAATTAAAAATGTATACTTTGTTTTTAGCTAAACAGGTCTTTGTAAAACAAAATTAAATAAATAGCCATCCATTAAATTAATGAAATCTACAAAATTAATTTAAATTTACAATATACAAAAGCAGATCGTTTTTCCTTTCCCAAAAAATATTTTAAGCACAACATCCACTAAAGTATGGCTTCATCTCTAATATCGACATCGGATATTCAACATCCGGGAACCGAACCCTGGCCTTCAGACATTCACATTCCGGGTCCCCACAATCGCAGCTCGTTTCAAAATTTCTTGAACAGCCACAATCATAGTTTGGACATGTTGAGCATGGGGCTGAAGAACAAGTCTCACACAAACCTCTAGTCCAGGGTTCACCACAGCGTTTTGAACAGAAAGCATCTAGACCCTAATCATAAAACAACATTTATACAAAGAAAAATTAAACATAAAATTAACATAGTTGCCTAATTAAAGCACAACTCACCTTGCAGAGGCAGATGACCAAAACAAACAACAAAATCTTATTCATTTTCACCTCTTGCCACAATAACCTAATGCCATCCCTTTATATACATGTATACAGGAAGACGATAACAAAATAATAAGTTTTTATCAATAAATTATAAACATTGTGAAATGTTGCCACGAAATTATTACTAGCGATAATAAAGACGCCGAGAATCACGTAGTAGGAACCAATTCATTCAATTATTTTCCATTAAACGAACCTACAATCAATATACTTCAATAACAATTGCTTGCTGATTTATTGCAAATGTTTTCTCTCTATTTCAGTTTATTTAGTATAACAGTCACTGGAATTATTTTATTCCAAAGTTATATCATAGTCTCGAATAAGATTAAATAAAACGTAATTGAAATATGAGACTTTATTTCTGATTTTAATGATTATTTGAACAAAGTAATATTAAGATAGATAATTTTTTTAACGTTTTGTTGTGTATGATATACTTATTAAAGATTTTTCCTTGTAATTGTTAAGTATACTATCACAATCTGAATCTATCCCAAATAATTTGATAACGGTGAATTGTCTATATTTTGATCAGAAATTTCACTTTGTAATTTATAGTTGTCCTGGAGGCGTTATCGAGGTTGGTAGAATTAAATTGTTTCGTACGAAACCACAAATAATACAAGTTGTTGTTTATACATAACTAGCTGTAGCCCGAGGTTTTGCCCATATAAAATCCCGTTGAGATGTGTTATCAGCATCATCAGCTTTAATACAATTTCTTCGAGGATTTATTTACCAAACGCCGTCTTGGTGACAATTAAATAATGCCTTTTTGTTTTAAAAAAATATATTGAAAATCGGCCTCTAATTCAAATAGTAAAAGAAGTAACTCGTTTTCACTATATGTAATTGTTTTCGTTATAATTGTTCAAGTCGTTTTAGAGATTAGTCGGAAAAAACACACAGACAAACAGATACTAAAAAATATATATTTTTGATGTTTTTACGTATATGTATGTAATGTAAAGATGTTAATTTCAAGTTACAAACATAACTATTTTTTTTTTATAAGATACGTATATACAAAAAACTGCTTACAGCCTTAAGCAATTAAAATATATCTATTTTCAAATATAAATTACTATATCAAAACATGAAGTATACTTGTAAAATGAAAAAATAAATGATTTTGAATTTATTTTAAGTATTTAAGTAACCGCGGCCGGCACAGATCGGTCGGAGTATTAAAATATTGAAATAACTTCCCCTTTGAAACCTGATATCAAGGACTGCTTCCTTCAACTCGAAGTATTTGGGGCGTCTGTAGCCAGATAACAATCTTGAAAAGTATTTTAAAGTTCTATAACATCGCTTTTTGGCAATCACTTACAGGGTTATACAAAGAAACTTAAATAAAAGGTAGACTTTGGATATTTTCGTAAAATTTCAATAACAATCAAGTTGTAAATACGACCTATTTGAAATATAAATAAAATGAAAGTATTTTGATTATTCCTTATAGTCAAATTTTTATTTAAATACGTAAATCATTTCATTAACTGAAAACTACTTACATTTTTTTATATTTTTCGTCACTTTTCAACCCTAATCATGGGTCGATGTTTAGCAATATGTCTTAATTTTATGAAATTTCTCAAAATCATCGATCACACGCCGTAGCGGAGTATTTCCGAGCCATTAATTTCCCGTACAACCCATAATTTTGGCTCCATTTAAAGATCCGATACTTATTTTATGTTTCGGAGGTATAATGGCTTGTATGTAAGCACACATTGTGAAACATATATTTTGCAGTCACTGTTTGAATGTTATGGTAATTTAAAATCACAAAATTATTTTCATCTTCTTAATAGTTTTATATATTAGTTTTGTTTTGGGAAATAATTCGTTTTTATTTTATATACTTTAGAATAAAGTGTTGTATGATTGGAAAGGAGTTTTTGTAGATATAAAAAAGTTACATTTTATTGTATCTTGTCGAATCATTCAGTAATTAATTTCTTTAAAAGATCGTCGAAATTCAATGCTTTTGTAAATTGTTTTTTTACATATACCTATCCATTTTTAATTCAGTTTATTTACATTTAACAAAGTAAAATATTTGAATATCTTTCAGTTTCTTGTAATATAGTTATTACTTTGTATAAAACATTACTTTATATAAAATAATCAATTTATCTAACAAAAAGCGTGCCTTTCGTTAAACAAATAATTGATTTAAAGTTAGCACAAAAGAAACATAAGACAGACTACATAGTAAGACATTATTTTACACATAAAATTATCTATTAAAATGTGTTATTTGTAGTAATCGAAATGTGGAAGAATGGTTGCAACCATAGACAAGACCAAAACCAATTTAATAGATTTATATTCTGATTCATCAATTAAAAAACGATTTTAACATGAATCTTTATACTATTTTCTTATATATGTTGTAATACACCCGTTATATCTAATATCTATACACTAAGACATTGTTTCGTTCACATAAAAATATACTACGCCATAAACTTCCATAATAAATGTCTTAGATGTCATATTTTGTGAGTGTTGGCGTTTACGTTCGGAAATTGAATAAAATGACTTGTCAATGGCTGAAGAGGATTCAATAAAAACTTAATTTTTATGATGAAAGACAGCTTTCATTGGAATAAAATTAAATTTGCAAAATGTTATACATTTTATTTAAAGGTATTATGTATTCTTTGAAATGTTACAAATTATTACGTTTTCATTTTGTTGTATTGTTATAGACTGGGGTTTTAAACTTTTAAAATGCTTCGCTTGTTTCTGAACTTACTTCTATTATTTTAATTTAATTAATTTGATTAGAATATGTAGTTATGTAAATTAAAAAAGAGACATTCTTAATTATTTCTTTATTAATCTATTTCATTCCTCATTTAGTAATAATGACTGATATCTTTAGTAATCTTTTATTAATACAACACAAATTAGAGTAATGATATTTAATATTTTCATATTTTTTTAACTTAACATCATATTAGAGATACTACCTTAAGCACATTTGAGTACTTTAAATAGAAGTCACCCAATAAATTATGAGCGTCATCTGTCATTAGAGAATACTAGCTTTCCACCCGCAGCTTCGCCCGCGTCGAATTCGGTTATATCGCATCTCCAAGAGAACTTTTTAAAAGTGTGGGATAAAAACTATCCTATGTTCTTTCTCAAGGTAAACTCTATCTCTGTACCAAATTTCATTAAAATCAGTTCAGTGGTTTAGGCGTGAAAGCGTAACAGACAGACAGACAGACAGACAGAGTTACTTTCACATTTATAATACATATTAGTAGGGAGTGGGGATTAATCTCCTAATAGGAATAGCTCATCATGTAAATATACCTATATATATATATATATATATATATATATATATATATATATATATATATATATATATATATATATATATATATATATATAGTATATGTGTGAGTGTGTGAGTGTGTGTGTGTGTGTGTGTGTGTGTGTGTGTGTGTGTGTGTGTGTAATAAAATCCAGCATGTTGAAATTGTGTGAAACAACTATATTGTATGCAGTTTCATAGTATCAAATCATTCCCACGTGATAGTTATATGTGGATCATAATGAAACAAGGTGTATTGCATCACATATTTATTCAGCACGTTGATAATATTTAGGAAAAGAAATCATTGCGTTAACATCTGAAGCATTAAACAACAGCTCAGTGATATGTGCTTATGTAAAGTTTGATATACAGCTACAAGCGACGATAAATAACAATTATTGTAAATAGATTTCCATGTTTATAAATATATTTATAAATTAGAAAATTTATTGTATGGTAGTAATATTGGCACGTTATAGAATATTTCAAAGTATTTTATTCCACTAACACAGACGTGATCTTGAAAATATAGTGATATTAGTTCGTACTGTTATTAATTTCTACTATTTTGATGAAATTTGCTGTTTTTTTTTTTTTATATAAGCCACTCAGTACTACAACTATATACAAATAATACGGAACTTTTGAATATAATGCGAACATTACTTACACTAGTGATATTAAATAATTGCACATTTATTTTTTCATTAATGTTTCCAAATAAATTATCGTAAGAATCTTCTTTATAACACAGTCTTAATTAAAATTATTATTTCTGTTAAAGAACATCGCACAACACATTAATTCGTATAGAAAACTTTGTACAACAGTATCAAGAATAGTGCAGAAGATTTTTCTAAGTCTTAATAAATCTATAATTAATCTTAAACATTTCCAAAAACTATATCTCTTACAACATTTAGTCTACATTAAAATGTTACAACATTAAAACATTTTAGTGCCACAATAAATATATTATTATGTTTCGTAAATTTAAATGGCGTATGAGATTTGAGAATTATTAGAATCTGACAAAATATGACTACGTAAGCCGGATTTCAAATATTGCTGCTACATCAAACTACTTAACACTGATTAGTTTTAGATAAACATCAAATATCAAGCCTCGAATATTAAAATTTGGCATCTAAGGAATAATCTCACTCAAAAATATATCTTTTAATGTAATATATTGAAACAATGTAAATACTTCCGTACCTCAGAATTCGAATGCTCGATCCTATGACCTTTTATTCGGAGGTCATTTAATGTGAACGTAAAAGCCGCGTTTAATCGGCGGGGAATCCCCTCGATGTAGGAACTTCATGAATTATTCAAGCGTAGCTCTGAGCGTGCTCCAATGGCATGTCCGTTAATTTATTCCCCTTTTCAACCCAATTCTTTAATCTGCCTCTCAGTTCCTCTAAACTCTTTGACTTGGCTTTATTTATTCTCTTGTATTTGACGTCTTTAGGTTTGGTCACGTTCCTATGGTTGGACATGACCCGGTTGTAAGTCACTACCGGGTTGGAGCGAGGTTCCGCTTCTCCTTCATCGCTTTCTGGGTTCGAAGTAGCTTCTTCGTCCGAATCGTTGGCGGGCATCATTCTTTTTGGCACATAGCTATAGGACCATAATTCGCCGCTAGTTTTCGGCTTAACTTCTTTGTCGTTATCTATACTTTTCACTTCACCCGTCAACACTACGCTCCTCATGCGGAAGTTATCTCGTCTCTGTGCGAGGAGCGTTGTTTCTTTGCATTTCTGTTCGTCAGTTTTGTTTCCATCTTTCAATTCCTTCTCCGTGCTGTTCTGTGCGCTTAGACCTTTAGTTGATTCGTTATCCGCTTCCTCTTCAACACTGTAAACGGTTTCCAAAATCTCCGGTCTCCTCAAGAATCCGTTGGAGCGCCTGACGATGCTGTACTTTAGATTGGGATCGATAGCGTCAGAGATAGATCTGACTATAGTGACGGTGTCTGGGTTGGTGGATCTAAATCTCGGTACATTGGGCAAGTTGCTGCAGTCAGAGTCAACGTCTTCCATGATGACCGCTGAATCTGAATCGTTGAGGGAGTCAAAGTCACCTATGATATGAGTGTCCTGTAACATATCTCTGAAGTCTGGGATGTTCTGTGATGTGTCAATGCCATTGTCTAGTAGCTTGGCCTGGAGAGATTCGATTACCTTCTGCTGTTTGATTATAATCGTCTCTCGTAACGCTAGCATGCTAGTGATCTCCTTCTGTTTACGAACCAGTCGTGATTCGAATAAGAGGAGTTGGCTGGATAATGATTTGAGCTGCTCAGCCTTCTCGCGCTGAAGACGGGTGACTAGTTCCTCTTGGGTTCGATGCGCGCGACGCCATGTCAATAACTGATGGGCCTGCGCTCGATATTTCATACGAAGATCTCTGGAAACAAAATATAAAAAAAGAATAAATATTGCTATTATTAAACAGGTATGTTTTGAGGACACTGGCAGTCGTATGTAATAAATAAACACACTGATTTCTGGTTTCAAGGCAGATAAGAATTTATGCTTTCATTAAGCTAGAATTACGTTTCCTCTAAGTAATTTCCAATTGTCAACAAATGATGGAACATTTTAGTAGCAATAGGAATCTTTATAATAACTATGATAAGTTAGTAGCAACAAAAATTAAAAGGAGATAAAGCTTACGATGTCAAAATTATCTATGAATGTATCCTAGAAGTAGAGTTCAATAAAATATGGAGCTTCACTTTCGATCTGCTATTTCCAGCACATTCATGATGTAATTATTTGACTATAGATTTGTAACTAACCGGTCATATTATTGTTGTTAATAGATTTACTACGAGGTATTCGTGATTAAATTCAACATCATCGAAGGATATTCGATATTGAACTGTAACGATCCAATGCATGCGATATTAATTACCTGATGGTTCTCCGAGCTTCGTCGAGGGTATGCGCCTCAAGAGGATCTGTTAGGGAAGCTGCTAATGAAATATCTGGCTCCGTGGGGCTGTTGAGAGCCGACTCGCTTCGGCTGTGGGACAAACAAAACTGTATTAATAATAGCTATTACATATAAAAAATATTTTTGGGTCTTATTTTGTATATAAATTGTCTGTATATGATTTTATCATACTAATTGCTTATACAAAGCTTTCAACGAATGCTTAGTAGATTCATTAAGGTCATTGAGTTTGTCTCGTCAAAGTGCGGGTAAAAACACTGAAATGTAATTTAGACACATTAAATATGTGCTCGGTTTTGATACAATTTATATTTTTATTTAACACAAAATGTATTCAAAGTGACTATATTATGTGACGTGTGTTAAAGGAAAAAAAGTTAAAATAGATATGAGTACAAATGTTACTTATGTGTAATTATAAATTTCAATACGAATTTTTTATACCCTTAAAACTATTAGGAGACCCTTTTTATTGCAATTATAAACTTTATTCTGAATAAAGATCTCATTAAGTTATGAATAGTAAAAAGATTTGGCATCATCTAGATTACAAGCATTAAATAGCTTCTGACGAATGAAATATAAAAGGAAATTCTCAGTAGAGATAGACTGAGCAACAAGACTATGATTCAAATTTCATTTCCGTAGTGGTTCATTGTTGGACGGGAATTTCAGCGGGATTGAATTTTTAACAATATTCTCTATACCTAAGTGGGATTTAAAATATAAATTAATTCACTTCTGTGAAGTCGAAGAGCATTTTTAAAATCTAATGATTCTTCTTCTACCTGGCAATTTCCCAGCTTTAGCCAGGGTCTGCCTTACATGTTGTGAACAGTTTTGGCTAATTGTTGTTACTCTTTAGGAATGCATTAGTCAGTGATGTCTAAATACTCTTAGAAAGTACATATGACTGGGAAAAATCACATTGGTATTCGCCCGAACCAGGATCAAACCCGCGCCCTCGTGCATGAGAGGCAGACCTTTTAAACTAAAACCTAATGATTATCATATAATATTTCTTTATTCACATTATATGCCTTATATTCTGATATCAGTTATCGATACAGTATTTTATGTTTTTCAATAAAGGTCAGAGTTAAGAAAGTCTTGAGCATGACTTGGTAGAGATGAAGGCTTATTTGAGTTAACTATTTTGGAGCCTGGTTCAAGTTAAAAGTTATAGAGGATATTCACGTTACATATAATCTTATTGTCACATTGCTTGGCTTGAGTTATAATTTTATGAATAAAATAGAAGAATATCAGTTAATTTAAATATTAAACCTAATTTAAACTCATTTACAAATTTCTGTAGTGTTACGTTTTGTTCTGTAATGACATGATTTTTTCTTTTCATAGCTGAGACATGATTTTAATCTGTCAAACTAAGATCGACATATAGGGAAGAGTAGGGAATTGGACGGAAGAGATGTTAAGGGAACGCAAACGACGATAGTTAATTTATCCAGCCGGGAAAAAAATTAAACGTAAGACATGAGGGAACTATTAAAATTTGTTCCAGCACTTTGAAATATAGTGACATAAATCAATAGGCTGTAACTTAAGGTAGGCGGTGTAGTGGAACAAGTAAACCGTTAGTTCACACGTGTAACCATTACCGTCAACCCTTCATAGGTCAAGATTGTTTACTAGGGACTGCCGAATACTGTGCCAATATGACGAAAACGATTTGTGGAAGTGGAAACTTGATATGTTTAAACTGTTTCGGAGGTCACCGGTCAAAGGTCACGCCGCGACGGTGGGGTTGAGATTCATGCATTATTGATGGCATTTAGTTCCTCGTATACATCCCTACCAATAAGTTAAATAAACCACAAGCTGTCTGTATCGAGAGTTAGTATGCAAAATAAAATGACCCTCATTTAAATTCTATCTGATAAATCCAGTTAATACGTTAATGTGTTTACTTTGACTTCATGTATTTTTGTTTGTCTTTATACCATAAAAGGGAAAGGGTACCAAAATTACACACCGCAAGAATATAAATGATCAAGGAAACATTTAATATATAAGCATATAGATAATAAAATACAAGTAAACTTTATACACAAATAGACATTGAAAAGTCATGCAACAATTCGCGAATACGAAATAGAAGTAAAATAATATCAAAGAAAATTTAACAAAATAGCATAGATCGATATATAAAGCAGTGATGGAATGGTTCGCCAAATATCTGATGAAAGGAAAACATTCGACCAACGAAAACTGTTTCAAAAATTGAATACTTCGTCAAACAAAATTGATACAATCAAAAAAACTACGTTTCCGGAAACGAAACCGCTTTTATTGACAACAAAAATAAAATCAATTACATATTTTTTGGGGTATTTTAATCGAAGGTGCATGTAAGTTTATATTGATTTTGAAATTGTACCGTCCTGTTAATGAATAATAAGACAAACAAATGAGGAATTAATGGTGAGATCTCTATATCAACCTGGTGAAAAATCATAAGTCGTCATCAGCTTCCTATCTTTAAAGATTGTAGTTGGATTCAGACAGAGTAGCTTTTTTATATACAATTACAAAAAACATATAGTGTTAGCAAACTCCATATAAGAATATAGATTGAATCTGTAATATTTTTAAAACAAAGATTATTTTAATGATACTAAATTATGACTTCCTTTGATAAATTTATTACATTATATTACTCTGTTATTTTTAGGAATTCCGTAAGTAGGTATAAATAATTTATGTAATACGCAGTTAATCTTCCAAACATTAATTGATTGCTTCTCCCTTTTGTTTTATTCATATATTTCATATGAGATATGAATTCAAAGCAATGTGGAAAAAACTTCAAAGAGATTTGCGAGGTCGGATTCAGAATTTAGAAGTAATAGTAATAATAAGTGATCGTAACTATTACTTGATAGTTTAGCATGTCCTGAAACAAGTTATTATCTCTACATTTCAGTGTTGTTTTTAAACTCTCTTATTTTAATGAAAAAATTTTAATTCTGTCTCCGCGAAGTAAAGCATTTAAACCACTTAAACCATAAAGCATTTAAACCATATTTATTTAAAAGCTTAGCCTTGACAAAGAGAATACAGATTTTTATTACATATATTTTTCTACATTGTTTGTTATATATAACTATTTATATTATTGTTCATTATATTTTTAACTATAAAATTATTTCTTTATTAATTTATTTGGGAACAAACAATTTAAAAACAAAAATAACAAAAATCACAAATCAATCAAGTTTCCAAGTTTATTTTAACTAGTCTGTCATATGATGAAGTGGAATAATAATTTTAATTTCTTTAATATAATAGTACTATACAGAAAGGTTTCAATTAGTGGAAGATACACTAATGAGAAATGTGCTTAATATTTCAAAGCGCCGATGGAACTTAATATTATTTCTACTAATGGTATTCTTTAATAGTTTTTTATGTGTGCTGGTTAAAAAGAAGATATTTTTAAATTAATTTTAAGTCGTACTACGAAAGACTCAGGAAGACTTCGCGACGAAGCGGAAAATTAACAAAGTTGATAATGCTTAATCACTTTATTTGCAAAGCAAAATAATTATTGCGACACTTAGTAACAAAAATAGAGATATTTTGTACCGAGTTTGGATGACTCGACATTTTCTTAGCGAGAATTTAAACACATTTAGGGTAATTGTCCAAAAATGTATTTTGTTGTTTATTTTTGTCATAAAACTTTAGTTTAATTTATGAAAAGTGTAAAACTACATCAACATTAATTGCTAGGAGATTCATGGATAAAGCTTAGTTCCTTCCATTTTATAAGTGTTTAAAAATCTATGTCTCGTTTAATTAAATTCTCTAATTAAATTAAAATTTGCTTCTACGTCGAGAACGTCGTCTTATTTAATAGAGTTGGGACCGAAGTAAAATATTATAATAATTACAGAGCATTCCACGTAAAACTTTTAAAATCATATTATGCAATTTTAATATGAAAGTTAAAGAAAAAACTTAACAAATACCAAACTAGGATATATATTTAAAACTTACCACTCATTATCTATAGAATTGTCGAAAATAGTCGCAATAGATCCCATGAAAACTAACAAGGCAACATAATTCAAGAATATTTTAACCAAGACTACGGTTTGTGGGGAAAATATAAGTGTCTGAACAACGCGAAGTCCCCTAACTATAAAAACCCTACCAATGGAAAGGTGGTGGTTGATACAGGAAATGTTAGAACAGGATAGCTTTAGTACAGTCGAGTTAAATGCTTCATATTATTTTAAGATTTCCACAAAGACTGAAATTATACTGTATTTATAGTTTTGTCTTAATTTTCATATGACTAATGACACGTAGTTTAAATCTCTAACTATAATTTGATGTATATACAATTATAATAAAATTAAATTTTTAATATAAAAGCCTTCACCATTTTCTTATAAAACCACTAAAATCAAATAAGCTTATAGTATATCAGAATATACACTTGTTTTATACTCAGTACCAAAAATTCTAATAACGAAAGTCATCTTTTCCACTTTTGTAACTGAATGTATCAGTAAAGGATCGTTCCGCTTGAAAAGCGTCGCACGCGCAGTGAGCAGGTGGCTTGTTGGTTTCGGTTACAACAGATGTTTTTGTCAAGTAACCAACGAGTGTAGTCTCTTTAAATACATAAAATAAGAAACAAAATCATAATAGATTGAAATTGTACTTATGTGTATTAATAAGGACATTTTCAGATACTACATGTATGATACCGTTTTGACAAAACCTGTGCCCTAAATAACAAGAGCTATAGTTGTAAAATTTATATATTTACTTCTATTCAAATTTTTACCTTTACTTGAATATATATATATATATAGTATGTTTAGATAATAATATGTGAAATCTGTAAATATGCTCAGTCAGTGAGTATTTAATTTTATAGTTATATATAATTTTTTTACAGATTTATCTCTGGATAATACCCGGATCTGTACTCTTGACTAAAGCGCTATCAGAAATTGATTTGCAGTTTATCCCCAGCGTAAACACTACACTTCCTATTATAATGGAATAATGCAACAAGATCTCAAAGTTACTTAGTTACCTACATTATGGTTAGTACAAACTAGAATATAATAATCCAAAATGTTATAGCAAATTACCTACTTATTTTTGTTTAAATGAAACTAATATTTTTCGGATATTATACCTACTACGCGGTTTATTTTCGTAAAAAAAACTATGTACTCCCGACGTTTCGACTACTTTTCAGCAACCGTGATCACGGCAGACGAGATTTAAATGAATTTAGTTTCATTAAAGTGAATAAAACTCACGAAAATCTTAGATTCCATTACTTATTTTTGTGCAAAAGTATCCTTACTACACTCGTAGAATTTTTGTTAGTATAAATTTTATAATGGTTGATGTAAAACAAGTATTCTTTGATAATATCACTTTCAAAGTTCATGAAGTAAGATAAATCAAGATCTAGGTATAGTCTGGAGGTCATTAAAGCTTGGTTATCTCAAGTAGCATCTAACAAATAGCGAATTGCCTTTGTTGAGAAGTTTTTATCTCACGTAAACTTCCTATAAATCACATAAAGAGACAGAAGTTGCAAGTGAAAGGGCTTTAACAGATTTATCGCTTTGCATTTCTTTTTCTCTCCTTGATTTTATGGGTTGTTTGGTAAGTTCTGTCTTTATTTAAATAATTTTGAATTTTACTCACCAAAAACGAAAAATACAAATTACTTTGTTTGTTAGTCAATAAAATTATCTAGCA